GTGCCCTGAGGGAGGGAATTCCAGGATTTTGACCCAGTGACGGTGATGGAACGTTGATATATTTCCAAGTCAGGATGGTGAGTGGTTTGGAGGGGAGTTTGAAAGTGATGGTTTTCCCATGTGTCAGCTACCCTTGTCCTTGTAGATGGAAGTGATTATGGATTTAGAACATGCTGTCTGAGGGTCTAAGGATGAGGCACTGTTGTAATGTACAAACCCCAGCAACCAATTTTTGCACAGATTCTACACACCTTCCTCTGTGTGTTATAGTTCTGGTGTTACAGACACGTACACGGTAAGTAGGTGCACCAGTGCTGTAGCTCCTGTTACCTGTGTCTTTATCACCAGCCTGTGGCACTAAGGAAATATTTTCATCACAGAATTCCAGGTTCAAATCCATGATTCCTGCTTATTCCCTGAGGCAGGGGGAGGTACTGAGTGTCGATGAGATTCCCTCTTCAAGGAGGTGCAGGGTGGGGTGGGGCAGGAGGGTACCATTTTGTTGTTAGTGCTGTTCATTTGGTTTTATCTCAGTCTCACGACAGTCTGGTCTGCGGTGAGGCACCAGGCTCTAAGCAAAAAGCCCAGGCTGACCTTTCGGTGCAGTTCAGAGGGAGTGCAGCATTGCTGGAGGTGCTGTCTTTTCAATGAGATCTTAAACTGAGGCCCCAGTTACGTGCTTGGGTGGATCTAAAAGATACCGGAGCACGATTTTGTATTAGAGCGGGGCAATTATCCCTGGCGTATTGTCCCATTGTTTATCGCTCAGAGCAACATCAGAGAGAAACAGAAATCAGCTCATTATCACATTGTTGTTTGTTGGTTGCTCGCCTTACACAAACCAACGGGAAGCTGTTTCTGACATTACAAGCACTCTTCAAAAAACCCTTCACTGGCTGTGAAATGTTTGGAGATGTCCACTGTCCTCAAAATACAAGACATTCTTAGCTTGGCAAATTCGATTTATGGCATTTTTGTGTTGATCCCTCTGTTTCATGCAGTTAATCTTTTTCTTTCTCTGCCTTTCTGTTTGGCCCTGTCTTTTTCTCTTGCTGCCCGATTCCATCCCTCTCTTTTTTTCCGTCTCCCTCTAGGCACCTCCAGGATTTTCCAGGCTGTGCTCTGTACGATCTTGTCTCGGATGTTGGGGCCTCCTCTATTTTTTACACGGAATTGTGAATTCTGTATTCATTGCTGTGGCGGTTTCCATGGATATGTGCCTGGGATTGTTTGATTGGAGCACTGGGCCTGTATATTGTGGCTCTAGGGGGGTGGGGTTTACAGTCAGTCTAGCCCTGATTAATCCTCCCTCATGAAAGAGGCACCACTTCCTGCTGACTGCGGTACTTCCTCCAGCTGGAATTGGACACTTACATTCCCAACACGGCAACCTGAGAGACACGGCTAGTCAGAGAGTGAATTACAAACTGGCTGAGGACCCCTGCAGCTCGGGGCCCCCAACAGGACCAATACTTTCAAGGCTGCCTTTGTCTGCCTGCAGACCTTTGGCTTTGACCAAAACCAAAAGTGGAAATTGCGAAAACGATGCGTGTCTGAGCGAGGCCCTGACACTGTCAATGTTGTGAGATTATTGAATCCAGTCCTGTATGTCACATGGTGCACATCCTGCTGGGTCCAAACATATTCTCTCTGAACAATACAGAGACACACTGATATTAAACTGACTCGTCCTGCATCTTGTTAAAGCACAGGCCTGATCGTTCAGAACCCCTTTCCATCGAAGCGCACAGTGGGCCACTCAGCTCCATCAGACCTATGAAAGAGCTAATCCCAACGGCCCTGCTATTTCCCCATGAGTTTGTTAATGCTCTCTTCTTCAAGGATCTGTCCAATTCCCTGTTGAAAGTTCTTGTTGGATCTGCTTCCAGATCATTACTGTGCAAACCCACTCCTTAGCTCCACAGGCGAGGCTTTCCTGTGACTGGACTGCCTGTGCTTTACTGACTGTCTTGCAACAGTTTCTTCTGGATTCACTGTGTCAGAAGCCACTCTGACCTTCAACATTTAATTAAGGTCCCTTCTCTCCTCTAAGGAGAACAACTACGTTGACTTCTTCAGTTTCTCGACTCTGGGGCTGTTTGGACAAATCTGCACTGACCGACCACCCCTCAGCTCCACCCCCCACCCAGCCCCTACAACATCCTAACGTCCTCCTCAAGTACAATGTCCAGAATGAGACAGTACTGGAGCTGGGAACCTGACAGTCTTTTATTCAGGGTTTAGCAGAAGAGTTCTGCTTTTGCACGTCTTTCGACTTGCCCTGAAGGAGATAATCTGCTTAGGCATCGCATCGGTGGCCTCTGGGATCTTTCTGTGCACATATCAACTGACACATTTTCGGCAAACAAAGGCTACATCCCAAAAACTGTTCATCAATTATGAAGTTCTTTGGAGTGGCTTGGAGGCTCACCCTTTGACCCCAGCTGCTCCCTGCGACCCCGGCTGTCCCCCGTGACCCCGGGGCTGCCCCCTGTGACCTGGGGCTGCACAGTTGGCCAGACAGCTGGTTTGTGATGCCAACAGCATGGGTTCAATTCCTGCACCAGCTGAGGTTATAACCAGGAAGCACTCTCCTTCTCAGCCTTTCCCCTCACCTGAGGTTCAGTGACCCTTGTGTTAAACCATCACCAGTCGTCTCTCTCCACAGTCCTATGGTGAGTACAACTATGGCAACTTTCACCTTGACATTTCACTCACTTTGTGAAATTGTTTTTTCTTACATCGTACCTGCTTTGTTTGCACATCATTTTAAATCTGTGCCCTCTCATTCTCGGTTCTTTTACAATTAAAAACAATCTCTCCCAATCTGCTCAGTTCAGCTGCTCACAATTGTGAAAACCTCAATCCAATCTCCTCTCAGCCTTCCTGTCTCCAAGGAGAACCACCCCAACACCTTCAATCTATCCTCGTCACTGAAGTTTCTCATTCCTGGAATCATTCTTGTGAAGCGATTCTGTACTCTCTTCAGTTCATTCACCTCTTTCATATTGTGAGGTACCCACAACTGTACCGAATCCTCCAGCTGAGGTCCAACCAGTGTCTTGTACAAGTTCATTGTCACCTCATTGCCCTTGGACTCCACGCCCATGTTAGTAAAGCTGAGAACGTTCTGGGACTCTTGTCTCCAAACCACTGCCATTCCCATCCTCCCTCCATCTGCAAAAGATGGCTCTTCAGCCATGCTCAGAGTCACTGGCCTGAACTCGTATCGATCCCGGGGAAAGTCTCTCAATGACTGGATCTCCTGCCCCTCCATGGCGGGATCTCTTTCAGCGACTGAATCTCCTATCTCATAGAGACTGGGCTGCCCATCTCTCAATGATTGGATCTCCTCCCTCTCAGTGACTGGATCACCTGCCTCTCTCAGGCTCGCAGTGCCCCAGTTGCTGAGGAGCCTGCAATAAACAAACAGCTCCAAGTGCAAAGATTACTTCCTACAAGATTTGAAAACGTCCTCTGAACCGAACATCCCGTGGACGTTTCCGGGACTCAGAGAAAGTTTGACAAACACGTGGACCCATCCAGAGAATTTCCAGTCACAGGCCCCACAAGTCCCAGGCTCACTGATAATGCCCAGTGCAGTGAGTGTGAGCATGCGAGGGTTAAACATAAAGCTACTGACCTTTCCAGAATAAAGTTACCTCAGTTCATCAATAGAAAACCTTAATCTTTTTCTCACAGCACATGATTTCGGTTAATCTCAGTTTTGCCGTAGAATGAAACAATTATTCTGTATAATCGTATTACTGTGTCTGTCGACAGACCCCAGCTCAGTGATAATCCAGTCCGCAGACTCCTCACACCAACAGTGAACCTGGGAACAAAGTACTGCCAACATGAGAATTCTGAGCCGGGATTAGTAACAGTGAGGAGCTTACAGAAGTGAAGGTATGACCACAGCACCACTGGCTGAAACGGTCAGCTTGTTAGATGGGCACCGTGGGCAGGCTGATGACCACCAGTCTCTTGTACGTTGGGCAAGGTGGGAGTGTGCCTGCCCAAGGGGACCACAAAATTGGGGCTCCAAGTTAAATATCTCATTCCCCACACATTCCCACTGGGGTACGGTCCCACAAACACTGATTCTCACTGGCGTACGGCTCCCACTCGCATTGAGCCTCACCGGGGTACGGGTCGCACACACACTGAGCCTCACCGGG